GTTCGTGCTGCGACAAACAATTTTCTTTGAAAGTCCGGATTTTTTCTTTAATCAATTTAAATTGCTTTAAAGAAATGGCGCACTATTCATACTATAGCCGTGTGATGTCTTTGGATATTTTGATTCATACATTTTCATTGTTAATGATATAGTGATGACAATATTAATGACGATATTATTAATGATCTCATAATTGTTGGTTTTTGTGATAATGTTGATAAAATTGTTGTTGACAGTTTGAGACCTCAGAGATAGTTTGTTTGCTGATTTGTTTTTGTTGGTTTTATGATTTTGCTGATAAAATTGTTAACAATTTGAGACCTCACAGATGTCTTAACTGTGGTTTTCAAAGTCAAAAGTCGAAACCCTCTTCGTATCCATTCCTCGTGAGAGACAGAGGCACTCGAAAATATTCCGAGAGTAACAATTAAGCAATTGCTGGTAAATTGTCGACGGTTTCCTCTCTCGAAAGTTGCTTTTAGAAGCGCGCAGAACTAGGCTTCTAAATGCCAGCGCTTCTATCAATTTTAGTCCGAAAATGGAAGACAATTTCACGGAGTTTTCCATCCTACTACCTACAATTTTGCTTAGGATCGAAGGACCTAGCATAACTGTGCACCTCAGCTTTTGGGAGCACATCCTCAGAGTAATATCACTAACATGGAATCACTGTGAACTGAAATCTGAATGGTCTTGGTAAACGTAGCAAGAAAATTGTTCTCGGCAACATCAAAATTAGCTAGCCTGGTCAAATAGGCAGAGAGGCGATGAGAGTGAGATAAGACGTTTCGGTTCATTGTAGGTTATTTTATTCAACGCGCACAGCGGCATTCACCCAGCTTGATGAGTGAGGCAAAACAAGCAGAATTGATCAGTCATCACAGGCACTGTACATACCGAGTCAGGCGACTAGGGGGATTTTTGGTACTTCATTTACATCGATAACAGAGACTGGTTCTGCTTGTTATTTTGTAAGTAGATTGTTGTAGCAACCAGGTTGACCTTGGAAGCCTAAATGGTGGAGGCGCGAAAGATTACAATATGAGAGAAGGAGATCGGAGTGAGATAAGACGACGTTTCGGTCCATTTATTTTATTCAACGCCCATAACGGCCTACATCCAACCTGACTAGTGAAGCAAAACACGCATAATTAATTTGTCATTAAAGTAAAACAACACTGATATTTGGGATGAATGGGTACTTTTTTCTCCTATAACTCAAAAAACTGACCTTTCTCCTAAATGGCATGGTTTTTTCGAAGTTCAGCCATGATTTTTTCCTGAAATTAACATTCTTGGGCTGACAGGCTTGATTTAAACAACGCTACTACCAGGCTTAAATTGATAGTTGAATCGCGCCAATGAGAAAATCAG